GGGCCCACCTGGCAATGGCCTTGGGCCCTAGGGCAACCTTTGCCTAGAAGCATTATTCAGGTTCAGCACATCCTGCTCAAGGTAAAGAAGCTGGCCTCCGAACTTGGGTAAGCATGCTCTTTTAAATTTGTAGTTTTAACAGTTAATGATAAGATGTTGATTCTCTGTGTAAAGTAATTTGGAAATGCATTTAACAAAACTGAAGTCACCTGACTGGTAATGGTTTGTTTCAAGTTTCAAATTGATGAACTTTCTGTATCAGTTACGTCAAGCAACTTTTCATAATTTGGTTACCGCTGAAGTAATTTGGCTATTGTTGGTTATTATTTTAATGTGTAAACTCGCCAAAAAGCTTATTTGGGTTATATGTGGTTTGCTGAGAATTTGCAAGTGTACAGGAATCTCTAATGATTGGCTTTTTACACCAGGACAAATTTAAGTTTGAGATGTAGATCCAGGAAAAGTTTTCCTAAACTGTGATTAATGAAATTTGTTGTTTGAGGTAAAAGCTCCTAGGATTTTATTCTGAGTTGTCTGATGGATCCCTAGATAATCAATCCAACACCTGAGAGAAATGCCACAAGCTACTCAGAGAATGTAATACTGATAGGAAGTCAGCACCAGGAAAAGCTGAGAGGAAAATTTTAACCTCAGTCTGGGATGGGATCCTCCTGTCTCAGTTTCCCCGTTATATTCCTTTGAAAGGGAATGTTACCCATCTGGCTATTATTAAGTCTAGCTATGAGGTAGATTTGATACTGCATGGTTGGAGAACTGAATTATCTGAATCCAAACAGAGCTAAGGATGTTTTATTCTGTCATCTGGGCCTTGAAGTTTTTGTTTTTTTGTTTTTCCGTCAGATTTGTGTACAAGCCATTTCACCTACAATTCGTAGCAAACAGTGGGTACCAGCCAATGTCTCCCCATTGTTTCCTGGATGCAGCCTATGCTGGGTTCCAGTCAACCTCCTCTTTGGGACCTCCTTGAGGGAGGGAAAGCTCTATGCCCCTTACCAGCAGGAAGCAGTTTCAGAAGCCAAGACCTTCTCCCCTTACCCCAAAAGAATTTGGGTCCCATTTGTTTGAGGGGTGAATTATGAGGATGGGATCTAGACCCCACCCAAAGGAAAAACCCTGGACTCTCCCACTTGGCGAAATCTCTGGTGTTTGCCTGAGGCCATAATTCCATCAATTAGCCTTTCATTGTGGCTGAACTCAATCACCCAATTCTGTTACCCTTAACCTAGCCCAGCCCTCTCTGTGGCCCCAGGCCATTTCCCACACTTAATCCTAGGTAGGTACCATTGTCTAGGTCCTAGGAGTTCTGTTCACTCAACTCCTAGTTTATTGGCCACTCCATTCAAGTCTTCCTTAAACCTCTCCTCCAGTCACCCCAAACTACTTGGCCACTCCTAGATCCCTCCCACAGACTTTCTGTAGATAAGGTCCATCTTGTCTCCATTAAGGTAATTTTTAAAATCTAGCCACTGCTTAGATTCTTAGAATCTAGCCAATACCTCACAGACTCTCAGATTCCTCAAGAGTCTGGCTAATATGGCGGATCTTTAATAAACCTTGTGTTTGGCTGAAAAAAAAAAAAAGAAATGGGCTTGAAAAAATTAGCAAACAACAAATTTGAACTCAGGAAGCTGAGCCTTCCTGACTTTAGGCCTGGCAATGTATTCATTGTACACTGAATAACTCATTTATTTATTTATTTGTGAGGCACAGCTAGTAAGTGTCAAGTGTCTGAGGCCAGATTTGAACCCAGGTCTTCCTGAATCCCGGGCCTGTGCTCTATCCACTGCACCATCTAGCTGCCCCCCCATTAAATAACTTATATGGGTATGCTGTTGATTGTGCTTTCACTTTCTAACAAAAATGGTTTAGATTTTACAGATTCACAAGTAATGTATAGAAACCATCAACCCCAATCATAAAAGTGATTCATTTAAAGTTTTACGGATGGAATTGCTTTATCAGTGAGGATATAGCAAACGTTATATTGTATGAGAAGAAACTATTGAATTTTCCAATAGAAAATAAAGACAGTTCATTGTATTGATTAGAAACAACAACAACAACAATATACTATATAATCTAGTTGGTATTCATTTCTAGTTAGTTCCAAGGTGCCAAGTATGAGATGTGTATCTTTGGGAAATGGGGAATATTATTGAAGTCATCTAGTTAGGGGTATTTGAAAATATATCATTCATTTCATCATGATGGAGGTCAGATGTCGTTAATGAATTTGAAATAGAATTCATTACTCATACAAACAAATGAGTACTAAGTGTCTTTCAGATTCAAAATGAGACAATTATATACTGGGAGTAGAAATCACTTGGGGAGGTTGAGACCTGTGGTTTTATGATCTTATCCTTTAGCATATAACATGACTAGTTTTGTTTTTTTTTTAAATCATTTTTAACAAGCACAACTGCTGTCCTTTAAAGTCAATACCTTGGGATAGGACAAGTAATTCAGACAGATTCCACTGATCAAAACCCTTTGGAACTTTGCTTTCAGAGAGGTGTTTGACATCACAGAAGCAAACTTGTTTCCTTACTTTGAAGAGCTGGCAGGTGTATGAAGGAATAAACTCATTCTGCCTGGCTGCAGAGGGCAGAACTAGGAGCCATGAATTGAAGCTTCAGAGTAGAAATTTAGGTTGGATGCAAGGGGAAAACCAACAAGTCATTTCTTCTTCCTCCTCCTCCTCCTCCTCCTCCTTCGTTTAATGGCGCTATCCCAAAAGTAATATGGGTTGCCTTGGAAGGTAATGACTACCCCCTTCACAAATATCCATTTTGGGCTATGTAACGTATGAGATTCATACATGGGGTAAACTAGATGGTCCCTGAGGTAAAATACGATTCTGTGACTTTGATTTAGTCACATTTTATTTTTTGTTGTGCACTATGCTACATATATTTGATATGTGACATTGTATGTGTGTGTGTGTGTGATATAGTGTAGTGTTTATGTAAGTATATGAGAGCATCACAGAGACACATACAGATAGAGAGAATCTCTCAGCTGAAACACACTCCTCATTCATCATGACTTTTGGCTGTTATAAAATTTTGGTTTTTAAAACTGCCCTTATAAAATGAACATTTTCCACCATTGAAGATACTAATAAGAATGTGATACAGGCTCTGAAGGCCATTATGAAAACCGATGTCTCAGAATGTTTTAAGCAGAAGTTATATCATAAAAGCTACTACTAGTCAGTAAAATGACTGTTTTAAAAGGCTTAAAACCCTGTTTTGTTATGCAAGCTCTAGTGTTATTTGATTTTAAGTGGTCAAATCATATCTGATCTAAGACAACAGGAAATTATTTTAATAGAAATTCAGTTACACTAATGATAAAAAAATTAAGAAAAGGAAAACTATAGAACCCCTTTTCCATACAAGTAGACATACTTCATCTTAAAAGGTCAAATCTATATGCAAATGTACCTAAGTTAGATTGCAACTACTAGATTGATGAGATTTTGTACAAGAGCTGAGAGCCAAACCTGTCAATTACATTTGTGAATTTTCTAGGCCAAGAGAATATCTGCTACTGTCTGGGCCAATGGCCAACTAAATACAAAAATGTTACTTATTATAGGTGTGATCTAGCCCACTAAACTGGACAATAGGTAAGGGATTAATAAATGTTTGCTAGGTAAACAAATAATGTCGTCAATATTGCCCCTACTCAAATGCAGTTTCATTCTTGATTCAGAAATTGGATAGTTGCTAACAGCAATACTTCTTTACCTCTTAAATTGCAAAAGATTTTAAAATATGCAATTATTTCATAAAGTATCTCCTTTTTAAAAGTTCTATGATAGTAACATTTTGGGATCCTGATATTTGTGTTTCTTACTCTTACTTCCCTCCTGAGAAAATTTTCCTTGTTTAGAAATTGTAACAAATTTGTTCTATTAAAAACACCCAGAGAATTTTATTTCATTATTTAATTTCTTGCTCCTCCTTCCTGCAGTCCCTTTCTTCATATATTTATTGTCTACATTCTGTTCCTTTTGCTATCCAAAGTTCCTGACATCAGGACTCTACCAGGGCATGTGTCATGTTCCAAATGATTTCTCACCCTTTCCATCTTTTTTCCCCCTTTCAACTGCACTCTACTCAATCAAAATTTACCTTTCTTAACTCCTATCTCCTTAGAGTCCTGATCTTTGCCAATATAATTAATTCAGGGCTCCCCACAAGAAAACTAGAATTACTCTAACCTTTCTCTCTCTGTCTCTCTGTCTGACGCTCTGACTCTGTGTCTCTCTCTCTCTCCCTCTCTCTCTCTCCCCAGATGAGAAAACTGAGGCCCAGGGAAGTTAACTTTTCCAAGGTTACAAAGTTAGTAAATGTCTGAGAGAGGATTCAAACTCAGGTCCTCCTGATTATAGTTCTACCAAGTCACCTTGTTGCATACTGGTAACATATACCAGTAGAACCTAAACCTATAACTGGGCCATTATGAAGCTAATGCTGAGTCTGTTTTGCTACAGTTGACTCAGATTCAATATAGAAGGAAATAGTATCTTTCCCTGTTTTGTTTTAGGGACCCCCATATTTAATAGCTCTACTTTCCATCTGATTATCCCAAGACCTCAAGGAAATGAAAAGCAGATATTCTTTCCAAAAAGTCTAGAGAAACATGACAATATCCACTCTTCCCAAACAGAGTCTTCATTTTTGAAGAAATGGCTTAACTAAAGGAGGGAATAATGGGAGCATTTTAGGATTCCTATAAGGGACCTAATTTTGAAGAAAGGGAAGGTACTTAGGATATTCTTAAATCATACCATGTGGACAGCCACATATTTTACCTATGTGTTGAAAACAATATTCTCCATGCTTTAATAGTATAACTTTTGTGTAAAAAAAAAAAAGGTTCAGAAATCAAACCAACTAACTAGCAAGGTAACATCAAGACCACAGAATCAAGCTGTTTAAAATTGGACAGGCAAGGCAATGACCTACCTGTGACTTTGCCCAATGTGAGGGACTTTACAGCCCGGAAGTCAACCTCTGAGAAGTTATATCTGTACACAGGATGTTGGTCCACCTGTAATAGTATAGCAAGCAAAACTTAATTAGTAAAGGGACAGATAAAAGGTACAGAAACTCCAGGCTGAAAATGTCTTAGAAAAAGCAGAGAGCTCCTAGCTCCCTCTGGGATTCTCTGTCTGAGGGAATTTAATCGAAAGGTCTGACCAATTTTGCCCCAGTGTAGATGAAATGCCCCTTTTCTTTCCTCTTTAAGAACAAGGGTGTTTTCAGGCAGGCTTTTTCCCTGGGAGTTCTGTAAAGCTTTTGACAGGCATTTATCCCCCCCACAGAGACTTTCTCACCACATTTATTGTTCTGAATGCCACAAAAAACAAATAAATGAAGTCTTCCCAGGAAGGCACTGTGCAGGATTAGCATTAAGGAGTGAACAGAATAGGATTTTCCCTTGCCTCTCATTTCTCACTGCCTCACCTCTCTTTCCTCACAGACCAGCTCTCTCTGTAATTAACGTACAGCACAGCAGAGCTACCTCCAGCTAAGACATGGCAGCAGGCTTCTTTTATAGGGGCTGTACCTTTTCAAAAAGACTGTGATTCACCCCAGTGGCATAAAGACTCATGGTCCCTTTTTGCCACACAGACTCTTGCTAACACACTGTTATGAAGTTTCAAAGACAAAGGGATTTTTTTTTTCTTTTTAGAGTACACAAACAAATCTGGTGTTGGTGGTGTTGCTGCTGCTGCTGTTTAATCCGGCACAATGAGATCAGGGGATCTAGGTTCAAAACCCGTCTCTGATATTTATTACCTAAGTAACTTTGACCTCATCACTTAACTTCCCTGAGACTCAGTTTCCTTAACTATAAATGTTGGAAGTAAGATTGGGTGATCTCTAAGTTTCCTCTAGTTCTAGATATAGTATCCTATGATTTCTGATTGCATTAGTATAAGGAATTTCCAGTGGGGAAATTTCATCTTCCAGGGCTAGCCAGCAAGTGTTCTACATCTTAGAGTCAGAGAGATGAATGATGTATTGAGAGACAGGTTCAGTCAGTACGAGGCAATGACAGGGCCAGGGATAGTTTAACAACTGACTCTAATACACACACACACACACACACACAAGTGCACGACATACTTTTAAATTTAATCTGTATTATTAAAATTTTCTCCATCATTTTACTATGTCTAGACAATCAAAAACATAATAAATAAAGCCCTGATTTGTAAACTTTGCTGATTTCCAAGGTGTAGATTCTCACACTGAAAATTTAATAAATGACTTACACACTAGTTTGATCTGGCTATAGCACACCCCTAGCTAGGACTCATGGGCTGCTTATTGATAATAACAGCTTATTTCATATACTACTTAATAAATATTTCAAATACATTAGCTCATGTCAGTCTCAGAACAGCCCTCGAAGAAAGGCAGTGTGGGTGTTACGTTGCCCATTTTATAGATTAAAAACAAAACAAAACAAAACATGGAAAAGTTAAGTGACCTACTCAAGGTCATACACCTAGCAAAGAAGGACAGGCCTGTTTCCAAGTATAATGATCTTTCTATTAATCCTTGTTGGGGCCTTGGGTACATGCAAAAGCTATAGAAATTCTGTATTTTTAGACAGACTTTTTAGGACCTCTACTCTAGTTAGGCATGTTTTATTTCTCTTCAGAAAATAACTCCCATATCCAGATGTCTGTTGCTCCTTTCTGAACCAATTTCCCTACTTGCCTTATCTTAGTCAAATCCTCTTCATCTTTCAGTGTTAAGCTCTGTTAAATAATATTTGTTCAGAATTCTAAGTCACCAGAGATCATTAGTCCCAATTTCTCATATACAAATGAAATGAAAAGACTAACATACATGAAGTGACTTGTCAAGGTCACATAACTGGTTAAATGGCAGAATAAACCTATATCCCTATCTTCAGACTTCCAGAGCAGAGCTTGTCCCACCACAACTCACTGCTTATTTCCAGTTGTTTCCCCTAGTAATTCTCACTAAGGGCTAAATATCACTTTGATCTCATTGTTCTTAGAGCTATTGCACCATTTAATTATCATGCTACTAATTATTATCCTTCGGTTTAATTTTTCCATCTCTTTCTTGTTTCCCCAGCTACATCTCTACTACAATCTCTTTAAAGGCAGAGTACACAAGTGATTTGTGGTTGTGTTGAAAGAATAAGATTTGTAGCTAAAAGCCGTTGGGAGAAATTCCAATTTGGCCACTTAATAGCTGAGTGGCTAGGACAATTCAATTAACTTCCCTGAGTCTCAATATCCTCGCCTAAAAAATGGGGAGACTAATATTTACGCTACCTGTAGCTCAGGGTTGTGATGAAACTCCTTTGTAAAACATAAAGTCTTCCATAAATATGTATAGATGAGAACTATTATTATTCACAAGAGCATCAAGCAGAGGTCTGGGCTCACAGCAGTATTCAATAAATACTTGTCTGTAGATTGATTGATTGAAGATGCCACTTCTGACATGTGAATGAGTATAGATGGTTTAGACATTTTTTTCCCCATTTTCATTATGACAGGCCTCCATCTAAAAACCATCAATGGCACTCTTGACTATATGATAAAATACAAACCCCTTAGTATGGCATGGGAAGTTCTCCATAATCAGTTTCCAAATTATTTTTCTTGCCTTAATATATATTATTTCCTTATTTGGACCCTCCAGCATAGCTAGAATGGTCTATTAACTATTCTCTAAATGAACCTGGATTTTTTTCTTTTTTTTTTATCCTCAGCATCTTTGCTAATACCTTTTACAGAATGCATACCTTACCCTCTCCCCTAAAACTGCTTAAATTCTAGGAAATGGTCAAATCTCAATTTATCTCAGCCCCTTCCTTCATTAATAGTTTCTAGCCCTCAGTTATCTCTTCCTCTTAAAACCATCAAATTTTGAGCTTAAAGAAAGCTCCAGGAGACACATTGCTATACTGCACATAGATGACAATTAAATGTCTGCTGAATTGACCTTCAGGCTTGGTACGGTATCAGAGACATACCAATGAATTCAAAGTTGAGTGAAAGGTACTGAACCTGTATTGTGCTAATAAATATAAAGTATAGACCAAAAAAAAAGTTAAAGATGAATTTGAATTCTAGCTTTGCTATTTACATCCTATGCAGCCTTCTACAAGGTGCTTCAGAGCTCTGGGCCTCAGTTTCCCCAATTGTAAAATAGGAGAGTTGGACTTGATCCATTAGGTTTCTTCCAAGTCTAAATCCAATGATTCTAGTGATCATCTAACCATAGATTCACAAAATCATAGATTTAATGTTAGAAGGAACCTTAAAGGCCAATCTACTGTACTCTAGCCAGTTCACTTAAGAGATGAAGAAAGTGGGGAACAGAAATTCAAGGTCACAAACCAAAGTCTGATTCTAAATCCAGGATCCTCTCCACTATGACAACCTTAGCCTCACTACATCATTTTATGGATTAAAAAAAAAAAACCCAAGAGCTTAGTTTCTTTCCCCTGCCCCATCAGATCACATATAGCTAACTGCTGGCAAAGACATGATTAGGACTCAGCAGACCTCATAATTCCAAGTCTAATTTTTTTTGTTATTGTTGTTGTTTGTTCATTTGTTTGTTTTCATTCTGCCAAACTGTGAACAATAACCTCATAGAGAGAGCTTTCTTGTTCGTATCACTGCGTGATTAATACCCATTAACCATGTGGCTGTGGGAAAGTCATTTAACATCTCTGAGACTCAGTCTTCTCTGTCTAGTAAGGAATATCAGAGCCAATAAGTTTACAAAATTGTTATAGGAAAGTTACTGGTAAACTCTAAAGCTCCATATAAATATTGATGATCGTTAGGCTCTGTATCCACGAACTAACTTGTGAAATAATTTATGTTGCCTTAGATTGTTTCCCCAGTGAGAGTTTGAATTTTATTTTTCCGGCAGGAACTGTCAGCAACTCACAAGATTTCTCTGTCCAAGTGTTTTCCTACCTCGTCTCCTCTCCTTGCTTTAACCTACCTGAAGTTCAGAAACTAGAATTCTTCATCCAGTGTCTCAGAAACACAGAACCCGTGAGCTAAAATGACCTTGGAGATCATTAATCTTTATTTTCTAGAGGTTAAAGATTTCACTGAGGCCAAATAACTAATTAGTGACAGAGCCTGGACAAGGACCCATTTCTCCAAAGTCCTAAGTCCATGACCTAATTCTATTCAACTTCATCAACTATAGCATATTTTTATTTCACTTTATGATTATAAGATACTTCATCTGAATTACCTTATTTGATCTTCACAATGGTGAGATAGATAAAAGGCATAATATTCCATTTTATAGATGTGGAAACAAAGACTCAGAATAGTTAAGTGACTTACTCAAGTTATATTCTTCTGCCTCCCTGTGACTCATAATTTCTGATCCTTTCCTACCACTGAAACTTTTCTCCTCCTTCTCTTCCTTTGCTTGCTTCCAGTAGTTTAGAGTTTTTCTTTTTTGTTCTGCCTTATTCTTCTGTCCTCTTCCCTAATAGGCTTAATATTTGCATATTACACAACACACACAACACACATATACAATTTGAATAGGAAGAAGGGGCTATAGAGACTTCTAAGTTCTTGGTGAGTAGTGAGGGCAATATATGTAGCTCTGGAAATTGAGATGAAGTCTCCTTGCTCAGGCAGCATCACCGTTCCTTCCACCTACCAAAAGTCTGTTTTCTACTAATAAAAAAAATTGCTATTAATGCCATATATTTGGTGATTTATCACACTATTCTACTTTCACTTAATACTTCTATGATGTTGGAAAAGTCATTTAGCTTCTCTGGCCTCAGTGTTCTCACCTGTAAAATGAGGAATTGGCCAGGGTGGTGTCTTGGGTCCCTTCCAGCTGTAGATCTGTGATTCTTTGAAGATCCTGTGATGCGAGAGGACCTTTGACAACCCTTCTCACTTTAGACTGATTATCTGATGATCATTTAAGGACTCACCTTGTGGCTCATTCTTGCTTCTTATACCTCATGCTGTTCTGCATGTTGGCTGCTTGTTTGCTCCTAAACATTTCTCTTAGAGCTCTAATATGTAGTATAGATAAGATGAGTCGGAACTCATATATGTCACATGTTGTTAGTAGTGTTTGTAAAGTTGTGGTAAGGAAGAAAGTGGAAAAGAATGATTCAAATGGAGGATGGGGATTGCTGCTATATTTGGCCCTACCTGGAGTAGTAAAAAGCATGATGGATTAAGTGTTGAGACACCTGAGTCCTAAACTTAGCACCTTCACTAGCTTGTTGTACATCCATGGGCAAAATCACATCTTTGGATTCAGTTTCCCATCAGAAAAATGAGAAAGCTGGACTAAATTATTATCTAAGGTCTCTTTAGTTCTAAAATTCTTGGGATTCTATTTTTAAAATGTCCACTGTATCTTACATACAGTAAGTAGGCTCCCAATAAATATTTTGAGATTGTAGAATATAATTCTTAAAATTACTTGGAGATTTGCCTAGTGCTTTATATGTTGAAAAGAATACTAAACTAGCTCTCACAATTGTTAGTCTCTAATTAGGTTTCTCTATCTGAATATATGACCTTGAGCAAGTCATTTAACTCAGTGAATCTTAATTTACTTGTCTATAAAGTGGTATAAATATTATATTATCTGCTTATCTTTTATAGTTGTTGTAATGATCAAATAAGATGATGTCTATGAAACTTTGTAAATTATTGTTATTATTGCATTAATTTATTATTACTTGCATTAATATTGTTGCATTAATATTATTGGTTACATTAATTTATTATTATTATTTGTTGCATTTTTATCATTAGGGACTAAGCTGCATATAAAGAACAAATTCCTATTTCTCTCTTTCTAGTTCTATTTTTCTCATCTCATCCTTTGTTCTTTCTGCTGACTTTGTCATGCTCACTCATTCACTCATTCATATTTTCATTCAATAAAACTGAATTCAATGAAAATTCAATTCAAATAAAATTCAATGAAAAATTTCCTAGCCCCTTATTAAAATAAGAACAGGGAATATGTGGGGGTGGGGAGATCAGGATCATATTGTCTGACTCTCCTCTACTCTACCCCCCCCCAACTACCTCACTACTCATAATTGGTAAATGGCTGTGAGATATGAAATGCATTTGCAACTATGTGAAAGGTAGATGTAGTACCTGAATAGTGAGCTCTTTCCCATCTCTGTTAATCTTCACATGGTGTATTTGTCTGTTGGCAAAGTTTTCCACATCGATGGTGTACACATGGACTCTTTCCTTACTCAGCTGAAATCGAACCTGTAAATTTCCTTAAAAGCAGAATATATTTCCATTTAGAATTGTGGCCCATAGAAAGCACAAATATGATTCATACATTACATTTTCTTTTAAGCCATCATTACTGGCCTCAAGGGGCCCATTTCTCAAATCCATTTATCACTTCATTAAAAAAAAAAAGCAGTGAATATTCTTGGTGCCATAGCCACAGGCAAATGTAAGGGATGACATTAGTATGGGTACAAATTAAATGTAATGTATGCATATGTCATCAGAAATACCATGTAATGTCTTTGTAAACAAAAATTCTGAATTATCTATTGTGACATTGGAGAAATTTTAATTAACTATATTTGAGGGTCTTTCACTTTAACTCTTTGTCCCTTAAGTTCAGAGACATAAATATGAAAATCCACTGCGGGCCCAGAAAACTTATCTGTGATATCCTAGATCTTCATCTAATGAAGACACAGAAAGATACAAACAGCTGTCATTTATCTGCTTATTGTTTATCTGGTTGTAAGATCAGCCCATAGGGTGAGAAAACTCTAAATATCTTTCCCCATCCAAGCTGCATCACCATAGATTGTTAATAGTGAAGAGGATGGTTAAGGATGAATGACTCATGTGAAATATAAGAATGGCTTTGACAACTAACAGTGAATTAGAAAACAATGAGCTGAAAATGGCACCAGGTCACGGCATCACATACCCTTCAAACTCCCTGAGAACTTTAGGAAATGTAGTGATCTTTCTATTTCCCTGTGGGCATCACTAAATAATGATTTGAAAGTTAATTCTTCTTGCATTCATTGTGACCCATGTTATGTGGCATCTGATTGTGGAAGGTTGAAATTGATGAATTTGATTGTAATTTTTTTGTACCTGGTACTATTTAGTTTTGTTATAAGTGGTGGGTTAGGGTCCCAGGATAGTAAAAAAAAAAAAAAAAAAATTGATTCTAGCAAAACTATCATGATAGCCCTAATTTTACATCCCAGACATAAAGGAAGAAAGAGGGGGTTTTCTTTCTCTCTTTCTTGAGTAAGTAAAGGGTCTGCCACAGATAGAGTATTGAAATATGCAAAGTTTATATTTTAAATACTCCCACCTTCTTTTCTTTACCCTCTCCTACCTCTTAGCATTTTTTTCCCAGACTCAATACTGTTATAAGAACCTCACTTCACTACTCATCTCAGGCTTAAACTATCCCTGCTAAAAGTGTTGCATATATCACCCTTCCAAATTATTTCCAAAATATCTCTATTTGTATTTTTAAAAGATTCAGTTTTTAAAGTCTGAATCAAGTTCTAATTAATGGAATCACTCTTAGTATAGCCAGGCAAAGTTAAAAAAATAAAACAGTAAGACAGTTCTGAGGAGAATTTGAGTCCTAGAGACCACCTTATAAATCATGGTAAGACATCAGCTCTTCTGGGTCTACTCCCCTAAGTGGCTTAATAGCTTGACAGCTTTTTTTCTCTTCCTCTGAACCTGTAGAGAGAGAGAATATCTATAGACATATCTATGGATATTTCAAGGCAGAGATGGATTCAGAGATTTATAGATTCATATTCTCTCTCTCCTCTCTCTCTCTTTCTCCTTTCTTATCTTTTAATCATTTTATAGCCAGGAGTGGTAGTACACATGTATAATCTGTACTACAGAGGAGGCTGAGACTGCTGGACTGTTTAAACTCAGATTTTCTGAGCTGCAGTCGGGTTACAACTGATCAGGTGTCCACACTCATTCAGGTGTCAATATGGTGAAACCCTGGAAGCCACAGCCATCAGGCTACCGAAGGAAGGAAAATCCCAGGTTGGAAATGGAGAGTATCAAAGCTTCTGGGTCAATCCCAGTTTGATTGGACTGTGAATAACTAACAGTCACTATACTTCCAGTCTGGTGAGATGGGAAGGCACAGATGGAAAATCAAAACCAAAAATAATGTTTTTTTAAATTCAATGTCAAATTTTGAAAGTAACATTTTTTTTTTTTGGCAATTGGGGTTAAGTGACTTGCCCAGGGTCACACAGCTAGTAAGTGTCAAGTGTTTAGTCTGAGGCCAGATTTGAACTCGGGTCCTCCTGACTTCAGAGCCAGTGCTCTATCCACTGAATCACCTAGCTGCCCCCTGAAAGTAACACCTTAAATGTCAAAAATCTTGTCTGCTATAACATAAGCTTCTTTCTGGCAGGTACTGTATATTCTGTCTTTCTTGCATCCATCATAGTGCTTAGCAAAGGGTTACATACATAGTGTTGTTGTTCACTTGTTTCAGTCATGTCCAACTCTTCATGACCCCATTTGGGGTTTTCTTGGTAAAGGTACTGGAGTGGTTTGTCATGTCTTTGTCCAGCTCATTTCACAAATGAGGAACTGAGGAAAACAGGGTTAAGTGACTTGCCCAGGGTCACATAGCTAGCAAGCGTCTGAGGCAGGATCTGAACTCATGAAGATGAGTCAGTCTTCCTGACATCGAGCCTGGCACTCTACTGTGCCAACTAGCTGCCCACATACATGATAAGTGCTCATTAAATAGCTGGTTCATTGGTTGAAAATTAAAGAATTCTTTAAAAATATAAGAGCATTTTACATTAGGTACTTTATATCTGTTGACATTTGTCTAACATTTCATTTTCTTCTGAAAACCTCTGCTCCTCATCTTCCCTACAAAATACTCCCAGAGGAGGCCATCCTGTACCTGGCTCATCACTTCTCCCAATGGCCCAGAGACCTTTATGCTCCTTCTGCCCCACTGCAATCCAATCAAGTTGTCCTGTGCCCTGCAGGCAGTTCATGGGAAAATGAATCTCTTTACATTTTGTCATACACTTAGGGACATCTGTGAAGGATTATTTCTGACAGCGTTTTCAGCATAGTGGGGTTGAAAAAGAAAAATATCACAAGGGTCAAGGACTTGGGGCTCATTGGCTTTTAATTTCTCCTGAATGGTCTTCCGATGCTTGGTTGGAGAGCCAGGGAGTGACTTATACCTTACCTGTTTTTCACCTCATTAATTCAGCTGATTACTGTCAGCTTCCTGCTGGGAGATGCTATCTCTTCCCTGGCACAGAACACCTTGAACTCATAGTAGTCCACTAGCCTCCATATACTCTCTTCCTACTACTCCATTTGTCCACCTTTCCCCTCCCTGACTTCCCATTTTTCAGCTCCATAATGGTAAATGTTGCGATTTTATCATTCCATATACAGTGAATTGACTCTGAGGAAAGTTACTGGCCATAAATCTAATACACCAGAAAATAGGCAGGAATGCTTTGCAATTCCTCTATGGTTTTGTGATAAATTACTCTTCCATTTAGAATGAAATGTTCCTGTTAGTGTACACTAACACAGCTACATGAAAGAGGTCATGTGTAAATATACACAAAGACAATATTTACACTGCTGAGAAATTAGAATCATAAATGTGCTGAACTCAAATTTGACCATCTCTTTATGTCTTTTTCAAAAAAAGTACACTTTTTTTTTTAAAAAAAGAAGTACTTCAAAATTCAATGACTTTTGGTCACTAGTAGGCTTTCTACAAAAATTTAAAAGATAGCTATTCCTATTATAGTAGTCAACTTGTATTAGCTTCGTTATATTTTTAAGCCTACTGGCAAATATATATTTCACCTTTTCAGAATTAAATACCTGGTGTTTAATACCACATTTGTCACTTACTATTTGTCACACTGTCCCCCTTTCCAGATAAATTCATAATAGATTACCAAGAGCAAGCCGACAAACTTCTGAGATGGTTATTATTATCATTACCAAACTCATCATCAGTTTAAAACATTTGCTAAGAACCTACCCTACATAGTGGACTATGTACCATGATCTGGGTGAATAAATAGGTGTTAGACAATATAACTGAGGCTTGTCTGTGCATACCTAGTTCTCCTAACAAGGAGGCACTGTTATGGGCCTTTGGAACCTATCCAGACTGCCTAACATAAGTGTCTTTGAATCCCCTACCACATGAAGGTGATTTACTTCTCAAGTCTTATAACCGGCAAGATTGAACTAGTCACTTTATTCTCTGTCTCTCCTTCTTGCTGTGTACAGCCAGGGGTGGAGGTGGGGGGCCAGTGGGGGGCGCAAAGATTCCAGTTAACCCAATGTGGGTGCCATGAACTGAACAGGCAAGAGAGGAAGGACTTCCTTCTCCTATTCTCCCTCTTTTGCTCCAGCTAAGAGAAACCGGTCTGTGCTTTTTTCTTTTCTTTTTCATTTGTCCTACAGGTTTGAACCAGGTGACCTTGGAACCAGGCTTACAGACTTGACAGTGTACCCAAAGATCCTACCTTGGAAGCCCTGAGAAGACAAGGTACTCTGGATTCAAGACCAAAATGGATTTCATACTTCGAAACTGAGAACGTGCACTACAGGAATTAAAGGAAGCTATGAATCTAATCCCCTCCCCAAAGACTGAGGGACGGGAGGAAATGAGGATTATGCCATCCATGTATTGGGGGAGTAAGTTTATATATTGGTGATTAAACTTTTTGAAGTAAATATTTCTTTGCCCAAACTAATATTATTTTCTATGGTGAAATGGAACTGGTTTGCAAGAGAGCCCCCTATAATTGAGGCAACACTATTAGTGAGGCTTGGAGCCATCTGAAGAGAATCTAGACACCTCCTCACCCCCTAATGCCCTTAAACATACTGGAGATACCTGGGAAAGGAATGAAATCTAACCTACCCTGGCCTTCCAGGGAGTAGAATTCAGGGCAGAGTGTGTTACAATAGAATTATTGACCTGGAGAAATTTACAATCTAGTTGGGATGAAGATCATACACATAAAACAAACAAAAAATGGAATGGCATGTTGAATGTATTTTAATAAAAAGATCACTAGGGAAGCATAAGAAGGGTACAATATTTTAGAACAAAGAGTAATACTAAGGGTAAATTGACTTGAAAGAATTTGTGGTGCAATACATTTGAGATGGTCTTTAAAAGGAGAGTGAGAATTTAGCCATGTAAAGTGGAGAAAGAAAGTCATTCTAGAAACTG